AATCCATCTATATTTATTTATTTAATCAGATTAATAAAAGTAACTATTTTTTAATCTAACATATAATAAACTTCATTTTGCTCAATTATAAGAATCTTGAATTTTAAATAATTTCATATATCTGTACATGGTAGACCTTAAACACAACTAATTTACTTATTTTTTATTCCAAATAATTTTGTCTAGTTTTGTGCCACAATAATGTTACTAATATTTGGTTCATAAAACATATTTTATTGGTTATTTGACCGGGTAAGCCCTTGTGTATATTAATCCCTACAATACGTATGATTTACTATGTATGTGTGCAGTCATTAGAAATATTCAAAATTGTAATCTAACTATGTTATTTTATTTAATCAAAAATATTATGAATTGTTTTTCCCCTTTTTTGTTTTTTAATTTCACAGGTAATTAACTGATTTACAAGGATACTGAAATTAAAATAATTTCATATCGCTGTAAATACATAATATATTAGTGTATGTTAATTACATATATAAATTGTACGTAAGTTTTCAGAAAACATGTCAATTTGCATCCTCGCTTCTCCTTTTACACATTTTTATTTTGTGTATTTCAATGTGAGTTAACTCACTTTTACAATCATATAAAGATATATTTATTTTCATAATTATACATATATTGACATTACTAAATATGAAAATTTGGAATGAGTACCAAAAAAGTTACTAACATTTCATAAATATTAGTTTCCATTATGTAGTTGTAGTCGTTTTGTATCACAAAGGTTACCAATAATAAAAGAACACATTTTCTTCATATTGAATTTTAAGTAATAGTCTCTCGAAATATCTTTGTCACTAGTGATAGCTAATGTAATAGCTTTTTAATTTATTTCTAAAATACGTTATTTTATAGTAAAACACTTTATTATATAGTTAGTTATACTTTAATTGAATACTTTTAAAACAAATTCACTAAATTAAAAGAGAATCGTTTCCCTAACTTCCATAGTTAACAATACAGAAACGCCAATTAAAATATTTGTTGTTTTGTAACTTAAGTAAGACTGCATATAAATATCACAAAGTCTAGTTTCAATAATTTCATAACAAGCAAAAACACAAAATAGTAGCAAAAAAAATTCAGTATATTTTTTGTTTTTTTGAATATCGTTTTCAAATTTTGATTTATAAGATGAAGACAATTATTATTTTTGTAAGTGTTATTGTTATGGTTTCATCGGGTTCATTTATCATTGGTAAGTAGGAGAATATGTTAAATATTGTAGTCTTTATTAACATATAATTGATTAATTTGGTATATATCTTNTAGCAAAAAAAATTCAGTATATTTTTTGTTTTTTTGAATATCGTTTTCAAATTTTGATTTATAAGATGAAGACAATTATTATTTTTGTAAGTGTTATTGTTATGGTTTCATCGGGTTCATTTATCATTGGTAAGTAGGAGAATATGTTAAATATTGTAGTCTTTATTAACATATAATTGATTAATTTGGTATATATCTTAAACTCTTTTAGGTGCGACGAATACAATGAAATATTCTAATATGGAAGAGAGAACCCATATTACCAATCCAACATCATCTCTCTATCAGTCAGACGAGTTAGTAGACATACATCTCAAGCATCTTGCTCGTCAAGGCTACACAGCGTTTTGTGTTGATTGTGCTTGGGCTTGTTATCGATTGAATAAGTCATTCGGAGGTTGTAGAGGTTATATATGTCGTTGTACTAAAGCTGATCTTCGTTAAAACGATCATAATTTCTTTCTAATATTTATATCTAATAATATAATTATTTATTTGTTAATGTGAATCTGCGTTTACACATGTATACCAAAGACTCACCAATATATTTTCCAAGCTAATAAATATAAGCGTTAGCCCATTAACAAACATGTTTCAGAAAAATCCAAATATCACATGTATTGGAGGTCAAAATTCTCGGTTGTGATATTTATGAAAACATCATAAACCATTACACACAGCTAACTTTAGACATTTGTTTGTCCCAAATATTTTGTATAAATATTTGCCACAAATATTGTTGCTAAAACTTGGTTCATAAATAATATTTAACTGGCCATTTGACCAAGGATGTTCTTGTTATACTACTAATCCATAAATTATGTATTATTTACTATGTATGTATGCATCCCAAAAATAATAGAGAGTTATAATCCATCTATATTTATTTATTTAATCAGATTAATAAAAGTAACTATTTTTTAATCTAACATATAATAAACTTCATTTTGCTTAATTATAAGAATCTTGAATTTTAAATAGTTTCATATATATGTACATGGTAGACCTTAAACACAACTAATTTACTTATTTTTTATTCCAAATAATTTTGTCTAGTTTTGTGCCACAAATAATGTTACTAATATTTGGTTCATAAAACATATTTTATTGGTTATTTGACCGAGTATGCCCTTGTGTATATTAATCCCTACAATACGTATGATTTACTATGTATGTGTGCAGTCATTAGAAATATTCAAAATTGTAATCTAACTATGTTATTTTATTTAATCAAAAATATTATGAATTGTTTTTCCCCTTTGTTTTTTTTAATTTCACAGGTAATTAACTGATTTAAAAGGATACTGAAATTAAAATAATTTCATATCCCTGTAAATACATAATATATTAGTGTATGTTAATTACATATATAAATTGTACGTAAGTTTTCAGAAAACATGTCAATTTGCATTCTCGCTTCTCCTTTTACACATTTTTATTTTGTGTATTTCAATGTGAGTTCATTCACTTTTACAATCATATCAAAGATATATTTATTTTCATAATTATACATATATTGAAATTACTAAATATGAAAATTTGGAATGAGTACCAAAAAAGTTACTAACATTTCATAAATATTAGTTTCCATTATGTAGTTGTAGTCGTTTTGTATCACAAAGGTTACCAATAATAAAAGAACACATTTTCTTCATACTGAATTTTAAGTAATAGTCTCTCGAAATATCTTTGTCACTAGTGATAGCTAATGTAATAGCTTTTTAATTTATTTCTAAAATACGTTATTTTATAGTAAAACACTTTATTATATAGTTAGTTATACTTTAATGAATACTTTTAAAGCAAATTCACTAAATTAAAAGAGAATCGTTTCCCTAACTTCCATTGTTAACAAT